CAGTATATCCATTTTTCTTTTTAGGAATACTGTAACACATTGGGGTTTTTTTGAATGATTAGTGGAAAACTAGGGTGTTTTTTGGTTTGGGTTTTTTGTTTGTTTGTTGGTTGGTTGGTTGGTTTTAATGGAAAGGTGTTTTTACTCGCCATGTTTGCAGAAGTATTTTTCCTTTTACTCGCTTGCCAGGTTTACAGAAGTATTTTTACAGGGCTCAGAATTTAACAGTGCCAGTCGTGTTTTGCACCTTTCTTTTACATATCTTCTTTTTCTTAGCAAACGCATGTGTCTCTTAATGCCAAGTTTTAGTTTACTGCTGCTTCTCTTGCTGGTAAAGGATATTTTCAAATCAGTGTGCAGCTTAGCTCCTGTCTGAATAGTGAAACTAAAGTGGACAACCATTAATAGAGAAGTGAAACCAATTAACAAATCCAGTATGTAACAGAAGAAAGAGAGAGGGAATAAAAGCTGCCTGGTATTTTTGCTCAAGTAATCTTAGGAATTTATTATAAAGCATAATAGGTGTACAGTCTTCAAGTTGAAATCTCCTTTCCTGGCTAAGAGTGAGTACTTCTTAAAGCTGATTTTGAGGCGTGCCTTGTGACCTTGGAAGAACTGATGGTGACTAAGCGTGTTTTTGAAGCATGGCATTGTGCACAAAGGGTAGAGAGAATTATTGCTTGTTTGGAAAATAGAGGGAAAAAACCCTAATTCCCAGATTAGGTTTTAGGATTGACAGTTAAAGCACAGGCACTCATTTTTTCCTTGTGATGTGAGCAAGTAAGTGTCAGACACAATAGTAATGAAAAAAATTCCCCCTCTTTAACATTTTTACAATGCTTTTCATTGCATCTACGCATTCAACTAAAGTGAAGCTGCGTGGTAGTTGGGACAATTACTGGCTGTCCCCTCTGCAGGAGTCATGTTTAGCTCCTCAAGAAAGGCAGAAGGGTGAAGATAACTGCAGTATGCTGCATAAAAGCTGCAAGTTTCCTCAGAAGTGATGCTACGTGCAAGTTATCGAAGACCACATTATCTGTGGAGAGGGGCAGTTTGGCTGATTGGTGCCCTAGAACAATATTGCATGCAGAATTTAAGGAAAACTCTGTAGAGGCAAGATAATTTTGTATCTTCTTACTTTAACTAGTGTTCAACCGTCTGAGGACCATTATCAGGTAGTATAAGCTGTTAATTATATTTTGGCTTTCTCCTTTAAGAAAGCAAATGGTACATCCTCCAAAAACAGCACAAACGTGTACCAACAGTGAAGCTGATATAAATCCAAATTCTTGGCTGTACTTGAACACAAGTGCTGTCTGTTTGAAAACCTGTTTAACATCCCCTCTCAAATGCCGGTGTGCGTTATTGTTATTCCATCTCTGAGATAATTACCCTGTTAATGATAAAGTTGTTTTCATAATAGGGAGGCAGGGTATGATTATAACATATATGATATTTGTCTTGCCTTGATCCCTCATGTTGCTGAGAGTTAAGGCTTGCCACTCCTGTGATCACTGTAAATAGCTGCAGTCATTGGAGCATGGTTGTATTTTGTAGGGAAGGCTGGAAAAGTGGAGTTTAACTTGCTGCACTCACTTTTTATTATATGCATATACTTGTGCAATTCCCAGTGCAAAATTTGCCCCTTGTTGAAAATACCTTTTGGCATACATCAGTTGTAACTAAGCCGGTAGAAACCTGCCCTTAGGTTTGGCTGAACAGTAACTCAAGTCTTGTCTGGACTTTGTTTTTGGTGCAGTGGCAGGAAAAATCTCAGTTCTTTTTTCAGCCAACTGATTTTTAAAAGAAACTGAGAAGTTTATACTAAATCAGTTATGGTTTTAGAGTACTAAATAAAAAATATTTGGTGAATGAAAGCATGTCCATATATGTTAGTGCTCTAAGGGACTATGTACTTGGGAACTACAGTACTGATGTAACCAGAATGTGTCTCAGGCATTAATAAACCTGTTTCAAGTTTCTCTTTAGTCCAAAAAAATCAGCTTTTTGAGCCAATGGTACCAAGGCTGTCAATTGCGAATCCGTGACTTCATGTTGCAAAAATGGGGCTCTTGAGACTGGAGAGTTATCAGTAAAGAGATTTGTGTCCAGCAATACTGTATATCTCATTTTTTAAAGCATTTCATCTGCCATGATCACATTGAAAACCCAAACTGGATTTTAACATCTTTTCTTCTGCCTTAGAAGTTTAGAAAGACACATACTCCCCCTATATTTTACCAGACAGGCTGTATTAATAAACTAAATCAAGCTTCCATAGATTCAATAAACTAACCATACAGAAAAAAAAAAAATGAGACAATTATTTTTCAGTCAGTTTTCCAATGCATCTGGAAATATCGTGCAGTTGGTCCAGCCTTAGACATACTAATTTTCTTTTAGCAACTGCACTTTGAAATAAGATATGAATGTTTTGTTACATGGTCAATGGAATTTAATTCTGGGAAATGTGAGAATTTGGGAGAGTACATTGCCTGTGTTATGCAGATAGGATTATACATTTTGAGAAAGGAGTCTCATAAATTACTGCAGGGAAATTAGGCCAAACTCATTATCTGGTTTACTTTGGTTTACTGATTACGATGACCAGGAATTAATTTGACTTATTCCTTATCTGTAGAGCTAGATACACAGGTCTCTCATTTCTTCCTGTCAACTATTCTTATCAGAACAGCTGTGTCTCTTACGATGGATGTTCCTTGATTGGTAACTTTGAAGTTCGTATCATCTCCTCCCTGTTTTGCCCCATGGTGGTCTTTACCTGCTGCTATTATGCTGCATATCAGCAATTCACATTTTTCCTTGTCCTTTGACTCTTTTACTGAATCCATCACTTTACTCTCTTTTCTTGTAATGTCTTTCAGCTCTGCTGTCTTTGGAATCCAGTTGAAGATGGGAGTGATGTTTCTGTGCCAAGAACAATTACATTCCTTTTATTTTTACTCCTTCAACAACTTTTCATCCTGTGTCTTTGTGCTTTACCAATACTGTCTAGAAAGGGGTCTGTGGCAAGCTCTAGAACCCTGTACCTACCTGGAATCCTCACCCTCAGACTCCTCTCCTGCAGTTTGCGATAGCTTTGTCTATGGCCTCCAGGTCTGCTCTTTCAGACTCCAGAACACAAAGTGCTATTGCCATCTTCTTGTAAAATGCGAATAAATTTCATTGTGTCAGTACTGAATAAGCTTACTCTTATTTCACATCCAAGTCAAACTTTCTGTGTTTGTTTTTGTTTTTATAAAAAACAAACAAAAACCTTTTGGATTTTGTCTTGTTCTTTTCTCTCTCCTCAGCAACTCCTCCTTTATTTACCCCTGCCTGCTTCTCAGGGGCAAACCCTGTTATCAGTTTTCCCTCTGTTCCAGCACCTTCCTGGGCTGCTTTTCAGCTTCTTGTTTCTATCATATCTGTAAGAGTTTCTCTCCCTTTCTTGTGCATGTATTTTTTCACATTGCCTGCATGGCAAAAAATGTCAACAGCAGTTTGTATGAAATAGAAATATAGGTCTGACCTTTGAAATTAATGAAATTCCCACAAACTTACATGCTATCAGTGTGATGCTGCAATTGTGCCATACTAGGCTTTTCTATTTTTTTATACTGATAATGGCATTTATGTTGTTGATACTAATAAATTGCAAGCTGTGATTAGTTCCTTGGATCATTAGTTATTCAAAGTAACCTACTGAGGGCTAGCTGTTCATGTGATACAGGATCTCATCATTGAACCTCATAGATGAAATCAGTTAAATAAAGATTTTAAAAGATATTTTAGTTTTCCTAATACTGCCTTTTGCTGTGCCATTACTCTGAAAGGAGAAGTAGTTTGCATTGTTGCAGGTTAGAAAGAAGTAATCTGTGGGAGAGCAGATGTAGCCAAAACTTTGGATGAAAAACAAACCTTTCTTCAAACTGTTTTTGGTATAATGATACACACATTATCATGATGGACCAATTAAGAGATGTAGCCTTTCCCCTTCCAGCATGCAGTAGTTCATTTTATATTGTTTCCAGTATATTTTATAATCGTATAATATGCCATGCTGAATATGCCACTAAGCAGTGTTATTCAACAGCACTACTACTGTGCTGTGCGCTGAAGAGTCATATTATGTGCCTTCCTCATAGGTCTTGGCAGGCGAATTCTGTCTCATGCAAAGGCACATTGGTGTGCAAGAGCCCTGTGCTGAACATGCTGAAAGGGTACACTAATGCTGACCTTCAAGTTGAGCTGACCAAGTCCCTTGAAAAGGCTCTCTCTTCTCAACTCCAGCTGCCAAAGTTTCACAGCAAAGAGTAGTAACTTAAGCAGTGACCTATGAAACAAAGATGTGAAAAGGGTATAAAGGACTTTGCTGACAGGCCTGTTAGCAGGCACAATTTTTGCAGTCATTAGTACAGAGTGATGTGTCTTCAATCTGCGATGTAAATAATGTGGCGCGCATTTGTACTCACTTCTGGGAAAAAAAAAAACAACAAACACACACCAACAACCTGCCTCTTCTGGGAAACTATTCATTCCAGAAAATGCAGAGGGGGAATATTTATAGAAGGTGAGAAAATATTTTGGGTTCCATGCAAAGTGAATAATGAATAACCCAGTCAAGTGATTTAAAAGGAAAATGTCTATGAAGAGATAAGATACCTGGTAAATTTTTTCTGTCAAGGAGTAAATCAGCAAGGTACATGCCAAAGACAAACTTTCACTTCAAAATTATTCTAGATCAGGATCTTAAAAATTTGGCCTTGAGAATGGAGTTTATTCAATCTGTACATATAGTTCTAGATTGTAGATTTTAAAAATGCTGCAAGTATTCCCTCACTGGGCTGCCTTTGTTCTGTTTTACGTCTGTTTGGATACGTTGTCATCACTCTTAATCTGGTGAAGTAATTTTTGAAATCTTGGTTTAAAATTAGGTATTTTACGATTCCCACATATCATCATAAATCATGAATGTTTGGTTTTATATTTCATTGCAGCGGAAAACAGATGTGCCACTTCAAATGCAATAACATGCACAAAGTGTCTTGCTTTGGGTCCAGAGTGTGGATGGTGTGCTCAAGAGGTATGGCATTTTACTTATTTGCTTTTGACTTTATATTTTAGCTGCTTCTGATCTTTATAAAGATAAAAGACTTTCAAACTGTGAAAATTATAGTGAGAAATTGCAATAAAATCTTTAAATGACCTCTCGAGGCAGAACCTGAGGAATCATGTGAAATATATTTTGTTTCCAAAGGAGAAAATACAAACTTTTATTTGGAAAATTGCAGTAATTTTGAATAAAGTGAGAACTTCTTAATGCATTCCACCTGCTTTGTAGACAGCTTTGGCAGACTTATAGTAACTTTGAGAGTTCAACAGTTTTTGGCTTCAAAGCAAAATTACTTATCAGTAATTTATATTCAGTCCTCATTATATATTAGAGCAAGTCTATATATATATGCCTATTGCATTTAGCAAAAGGTTTTACTAACTGTGGAGTTAACTGACTTTGCCATATCTTATGACCCTGTTACAAACGTAAAAAAATGATACTTTTCTTATTCTGACACTTGAAACTATCAGTTCTGAGACTTATCACAAAAGATTATCTTAGGTAGAAAGAATTCCTCTGAAATTTTTATTGCTTTGTGAACTGTAAGAATATGGGAATTTCTGGTTTTGTTTGACAGAAGAAAAAACAGGTAGTTGCATGATTTCAAGTGAGGCTGGACTATTTTAAGCACTTCAGAGGAGCAAAGTTTTTAAGAATATCACTGGCAATTGCAAACTCATGTGCTCTTGAAGGTCACTTTCAAATTATCTATAGTAGCTTTCATTAGGAGAGAAGGTAGATAAATTCCTAGGGTGTGCCTGGAAGAGATAAGGAGTGTAAGGCCCTGGTGTAACTTTACCTGCGATATTGGGTCTTGGAATGATTAACTTAGTTTAAAACAAGTATAAGGAAAAGTAGTGCAATAGAGGCATGGAGGGCTTGTTTTCCGAGAGGAGCTTTAGGGCACGTTTAGGATGGCACAGTGGATTACAATGTGGAGTGGTCCATTATTGTGGCCTGATGTCCTGTCTTGCAAAGGGCACAGTTTTATCCTGCTAGATCTGTATTTATCACAGAACAGCACTTGTTAGCTTTCTAGTGCTATGGAGTGCAGTAAGTCTCCTTCTGACTAGGTGATCAGATTTGACCAGGTTTCACTTCTGCTTTGCATCTCTTGCTTCACTTCTCATATCAATCCCGAAAGCTGTTAATGGAAGGCAAGGGTTCAACAAACCCTCTTAGACTGTGCTTTGATAACCAGTTCATCTGTGCACCATCCATGGTTGTGAAATGGCAAAACCTGTATTGATGCAGATAGAAATTTTTCAGAGTAAAGTTACAGGAGCGGTTTTCAGCTTAGCATGCCTGCTTCATCTAAACAATATTTTTCATGAGAAAATCAGCCCTGAGGAACACTTCAGATGCTTTCACTTCAAAAGCTTCAATGAACTTTGGAAAATACTACATAACTGTCAGCTGTTAGTGATATAAGCGTAGCTAAATTCTTTATACATTTAAAAATCTACCTTTTTGAAATGTATATTCATTAAAAAGGGTATATAAATAGCAGTAACCTAAAAAAGTAGTCTCTGTTGTCTATGTTAAAGAAGGTTATAGAAAAAATATATCAGAGGTAGACTACAAAAATGAGTTGAAACTTGTAAAACAAGATATGTGACTGTCAAGTGTCGTTCTTTAGGGGCTTTCTCTGGTCTTTTCAGGGTCTGGATGACTAGTTATTCTCTAATACACACTTGGCTGTATGCACTTTTTGATTGTTTATTTTCCCCCTCTGCCTCTGAAATATCAGATATTGTCCATTGTTTGGTCTCCAGCTGTGTCTGGGGTGGACCAGTGCTTTGAAAGAGTACAAAGGATCTTGTCTTTTTTCCCTTGCATGATCAGGATCATGTTAATCATCAGATTTGTGGTCAGGAAGGAATTTTGCATTAGATCATGTTGGCACAATTTTGGCAACTTTGCCCTTTCGCTGCAACAAAGGATATACTCCTTCTCAGATCATCCTGCTACTAATCACTTTTCTGCTGTTATGGGGGCTTTTTTATGCTAGTGGCATTTTAAACTGTCCAGTCCTGCAGTACGTCGCTTCCTCTTTCTGAAATTATATAGTCCAGTTGGTCTTTGGATTTGGTGTAGAGTATGGGGTAAAACTTAAACATCTCCGATGGACAAATTCAGGTTAGATAAATCTAAAGCTGACTTCTGTTGCTACTTTTAAATATTATCTAGAGTAACATTAGCAGGGGATTCCTCTGAAAACTAACCTTTTTTGATGTTGGGTGCATGACACTTTCTTGCTATGACTAACTCATAGCATGGCACAGAACTTTTTCTAGTGACATGGTGACAGTACATGGTTTCCTTTTTCTCCAAAGTCAACTTTTTCTGATTGTGCAAGATCCTCTTTCTCATACAAAAGTTTTTTCCTTTGTAGAAAAAAACTAATCGTGGCAATTAGGTTTAACTTCTAATTTAAATATTTTGTCATTGCCCTTATTAAAAACATATGGCTTCCATGAACTTGTACTACAATTTATGCAATTATAGTAGCATATTTTATTGTTTCAAAGAGTATTATTTTGCTTTTCTCTCTCCTTTGAAGATGTTACAATTGTTTTTTTACACTCAGATTGTTTTGTAAATTTTGTCTCTTTTAAAACAGGATTTCATGGCCGATGCAACACAGAAGGGACGCTGCGACACTGTTTTCAACTTAATGAAAAGAGGCTGCCACTCAGATTTTGTAGAAAATCCCACAGTTCATGTCACAATACCCCGTGACCGTGAAACAAATACACAAGTGACACCAGGAAAAGTTTCTCTCCAGCTGCGTCCAGGTTCGGTTGACTCTTAACACATTGATATTATAGTCAATTTATACTAAATACAATAATATTAGGTACAAATATTTTGTGAAGAAGCAGCTGGAATAGTTATTTTGAAGAATGATGCTAAAACATTATATTGTACACTATAATGGTGTTGCTCCCATATTCAGGTACAGTCTTCAGCCAGAAGTGTTTCTGTCAAACACAGCCAATGGTCAGAATAATTCAAGGAATAAGTGGAAAAGGGATTTTAGGTAGCCTTTTCTGTTTTCTGTTGTGGTTTCTTGATTCTTTTTCTTTAGCTACTTACACAAATAGTTTTCCCTTACATGCATATAAATTGTATTCCTTACTGGAAGTAAATATAGTTAGAATTCCTAAAGTAATCATCTGATAAGCTTCTTGATTATTTGGTTACTTTTAAGTGCATTGACTAGACAACTGTGAAGACACCAAAGCTAATATATAAGAAAAGACTGGATTCCTAAAGGAGACTTAGGTATTCAGTGCCTAACACTTCATTTATAAAATGTGAGACACCTGGCCCTAATAGAATCTACAAGTCCCTTTATGGAACTGGTATTTTCTAATATATTTCTATTTGCCCTCAGATGAACTTGAGTTAAATCAATGTATGTTCTCTATCTCTAAAATAGCTGTAGCCAACAGCAGAAGTGAAAGATGACATAAAGGGATGCAGGGTATCTTTTGTATCATAAAATTTAATTTATTTCTTTCTTTTGCAAACAATAGTTGGAGAAGGAAATATGTCATTTAGGAGGGAACAATCTTAGGTAGAAAAACATTAAGTGAACAGGAAGAGTCTATTACTGTAGTATCTTGCAGATCTTCACTGTATAAAAGCTAATTTTCTGTCAATTACAAGGGAAAAAGGAAGGATCTACATGAGTGTAGAGCACAAAGGAACTCTCGTTTTCCATCTTTATAATAATAAAACTAACAAAGTAATATCAGCAATTCCTCTCCTTTCCCCACTCTCCTTCCAAAGAAATGACTGATACTCTGCTTTGTGCTGAGAAATGCTCTCAGGAACTGAGCTAGTTCTGGAAGTGTCTGTAATGACATTTATTTCCAGAGGTGTACTGGATTCATAAAACACCTGACTTCCTAAATTTGGGTTAATTAACCTTTTTGCCAGTGAATAGTGAAATTCAGTTTGGGGTTCCATGTGCTTTGCTGAAGTTCTTGCATCACGGAGGCAGAAGATTGAAATTCTGAGGGCTCCAGAAGAATAACTTTTGATATATAGACATCCTGCTCATATTTTGTTTCCCAGGGAAATACACATATATATAGCTATAGTTGTGCCTCAAACCAGAAATTTGATTCAGTATAATCATGCAGACAAAGATGTTTTTGTTTTGATACTGGGTTTTTTTGGTCACTGTTTACATATACCAAACTGTGAGGATTTATGTGGGAAAAAATAAAAGCTGCACTCAGCATCTTGCTATATGCAAGCTGGAGACCTGCAAGAGTCTTTTACAAAAAGTAATTCGATTTATATTGGCAAAGAGGAACCTAAGTTACAGCACACTGAAATTCTATTTTTGTCATGCGAGACCTGATATTTTCAAATCCTGAAGTTTTTAAGTGGATTATTTTCAAAGACCATTGGAAGAGAGTACTTTGCATGTTTAACATCTCTGGCACAGATCTTTGTTATATGTACTTTAATTATGCTATCTGTCAATGTCATATGCACTAGCATATATCATGCATAGATAAGTCACATTTCAGGTGGGTTTTTTTTTAGTGAATCTGTTTCTGAATGTGTTTAGATAGCTTTTATTGAAAAACTTGCATAATTCTATAATGTCTCCCTCCTGTCCTTTGCTGTATTCTCATTGCATAATACTGAAATACATTCTGCACTCACCATGTGAAGATCCTAATCCCTCATTTCTTTGGTGAGCTCACACTTTGGGTGGCATAAAATAATGAACAATTTGAAGTCATATATTACTGTACCTGCACTGCCCATACTCCAGTCACTTCACTCTTTTTGCTGGCATTACAGAATATTAGGCAAGCAAAAATGTGGGGACTATTTTAGTGGCTTCCAAAGCATTAACTTTTCTATTACATATGAGAACATGATGTGGTTCTGAAGGAGAGACAGACATTTTTCATCCTGAAATAGAAGAAGTGTTCTGTTCTGTATACACCAAAAGATTGAAACCTGGTTTTTAAAAAATATTTTGATTTTACTGAGTTTTCTCATTGAATCTTTGGAAGCAGATTGGTATAAGCTCGAGGCATAATTTACGTGAGTTTTTCAGGCTGTGTTGTCTTTATGGTACACAGGTAGCTTTAGAGTCATATGACAAACTATTTGCAGGATACACTTAATATATTTGGAAGTGCCAACCTTGAAGTGACTGACCACAATATATATGCAGATCTGTGTCCTTTGAGAGCCATAACTGCATTCTGGTATAAGACCAGAGGGATTGCATAGCCAGGAATAAAAAAAAAAAAAAATGGGGAAAAGTCATATTTTTACAATAAATTGCACAGTGCTCCTGCAAGAAAAAAAAAAGCAAGATGTTCTACAAAGAGCCCCTTTATGGCTTATTTTTGAATGATCCTTCAAGGTTTCATTTACTCTTGGGAGGTTTTCTTGTTTGTTTGTTTTTCTGTTTGCTGACACTAACAACTTTGTGCTGAGATTGCTGCAAAAATAAAGGTTTTTTTAAGAGTGTCCATTCAAAAATAGTAAATAAGCTTATTTGTTTCTTTTGAATCAGGAAGTGAAGCAAACTTCATGTTAAAAGTTCGTCCTCTAGAGAAATACCCAGTGGATCTTTATTATTTAGTTGATGTGTCAGCCTCTATGCACAATAATATAGAAAAACTAAATTCCGTTGGATTTGCTTTATCTAAAAAGATGGAGAACATTTCTCTTGATTTTCGACTTGGATTTGGATCCTATGTGGATAAAACTGTGTCACCCTATATTAGCATTCATCCAGGTAGAATCCATAACCAATGCAGGTATGTAGTCTTTGTATATTTGCTGTACTGCTGAGAAATTATTTAATTACACAAATATGCATTATGCATATTTATTTTTAAAGCACTTCAGAATCTTTGTTTCATTATACCTTGGTTCTCCAGTAAAATTCTTAACAAAATTCTGAAAATTATTATAGAATGATTACTTCTGAAAATCTGGTGAGTGATTTCAGAAAAACTGTGTCAAAAAAAAAAAAAAAGTGCAGTATTTTCTGCACAACAATAAGCCAAACAACATGTTCTTTGGTATATTTGAGTGTGTCTTACATTTAATTTTATGATCAACTGTTGTCTTCTTAGTTATTTGGATATATATTGCCTAGATGTATCACAAAGTTTTGTACTTTCTGACCTAGGACTTCTCTGCCTTTGTTGATGCGATGCAGTTTCTTTCAGTTCATTTAATGAATAAAAGTGATCCTCTGATCTAATTCCACAGTTATTATGAATGAACTCCCATTTTAAATACAAAAGGTGTTCTGGCTTGCATTACTTTTTTTCATGCCATGTCTTTTATACCTTGCGTTCAACACTTATATAAAGTGAAGGATCACTTCCAAAACCTTCTGGAGATCAAGATTATTCGTAACAAATTCAAATCTTTAAAAACTGTAATACTTGGAAAAGTGAATTTTAACTATTCATACCTTCTTGCTCATTATTGTCTCTTCTGGGAAGACATGATCCAAAGTTCTGTGAAGTCCACAAGTATCTTTTTTGACTTAAGTGATTTTTTAATTGAGCACTCGTAGTAGAATTCATTAGATAGATATACATGTCTATGTCTGAAGTAGTCCTCTAGACTGTCTATATAGTCAGTGGAGATCAGTTAGCACTGTCAGGACTTGATTAATTTTGCCTAAAAGTAGACATCTGCAGAGGTATTAATTCTTACAGTGCCAGTTTCTCTTCATTGACTGTAAATTGAGTTGGGGGTGGGCAGGTTATAGTCCAGATGCCTACACCACGTGCAATGAAAGACATTCCAAAAGGGATCACGTACTCCCTGAGATGATACGATTGCTCACGTCGTGTTTCTTCTCATTCTATACAGAAACACTACATATGGACTGTTACTATATGAACTAAATTATATTGTATACATTTCTATAAAATACAAAAAAAAATCACTTGTTCATAGTAAATGCAAGCTAATTCCCACTGAACTTGATCTCACTTGGAGTTGTTTTTCTTTTTTTAAGGATTCCTTTTACTGTGCATCTATACATCTTCATTAGTAACAGGATTTTATGGGTTTATAGGGAATATTTGCATCTGCTTCAAATAGAAAAGATGGAATGTGTTAGACTTCTGCTTTGTTTTGTTTTTGTACAGTGATTATAATTTAGATTGTATGCCTCCTCATGGTTATATTAATGTGCTATCCCTGACTGACAATATAGCAGAATTCAGAAATGCAGTGAATAAACAAAAAATTTCTGGGAATATTGATACACCTGAAGGGGGTTTTGATGCGATGCTCCAAGCAGCTGTCTGCCAGGTAAGGAGTTTATTAACAAAAGACTAAATGGTAGTTCAGGTGTGGAGATATATATCGATATTTATATATATATATATAGGTACAACAGTGCTCAGTGTTACTGAATTCAAAGAGTCAGTTCTAGGACTCATAATAGTAAGATTTCCTCCTCCTTTTCCATTGTATCCCCTTTAGCTATACATTTCTCTTTCCCATTGAAACTGATAAAGAAAAGCATAAGGAAATATTTGTCAGTATTAGTTAATGATGTTCTTCAAAGTCTGACTTTAACCAGCCTAACCAACATAGGATGGACAATGAAAGCAACTGCTTCTTGCTTGAGCAGGCACGTGTATTAATTTCAGTCAATTACAAAATTCATTTTAAAAAATCATTAAAGCCTTCCTTGTGTTTCTAAGTGAAGATGTACCATTTGACATTAGTTCTACTTAAGAACACATTTGAAAACTGAAGGATCTGTTACATACTTCCTTGTGTAGATAAGGAAAACAAATGCACTTCAGTGTTATCTCAGGTTCTGAAGGGTTTATATTTGAGAACAATACAAATAAACTGAAAATTAACTTCTGTATATTAAGAAAATTGTATCACCATCTCTACCATGCAGAAAGGAATAGAAAAGATCTGTGTCAGTTGTTCCCAATCTAAAAGCGTATTAAATAATAAGAATTTGTTTGTTCTCAAGGGCTTTTTTGCACGTTGTTTTTCTTCTGTGCCTAATAGTACAATACAAATTCTGAATATTGGATGATTTATGGGTTTGCTAACACTCTGTAAGATACTCATTCTAGTCCTCTTAAATGAAGTGATTCAACGCCTGTCCAAATCACAGGTATTTGGTGTGTTTCTCATCTCTTGGGATGATGTCAGGACAATTCTTTTCTCTTGTCCATCTACACATTCTTTTTTTTTTTTTTTTTGAAGCAATACAATGAGTCAAGACCAAAAAGGTATCCAAGATATGCTAAAAATGAATAGTTTGGTCCCAATTTTATTTTCTAATTTTGATGAGATGTAAAACAGGTAAATAAAAGCCGCTCTTCATAGATACTGTGATCACAGATGTTCTAAAAATTTTTCTGAAGCTTTGGAAAAATTCCTTAAAATTCAGTGTTTCTCATTGGACACATTCCACACTTATGACATATGAGCTCTAGAATAATATATTCTTCCAAAAACAATAGAATGGAAACATTCCTGAGCATGAGGAGGCTTTCTTACTAACTGATTGTGAACCAAAATGGATGAGAACAATGTGCAATTCATAATGTAATTTATATTAATGTGCATTCATTTTGCCTACAGTAGAACTTTATAACTTGCTCCATCTTGCTTTAACCAATACATCCGAGTTGCAAGCAGTAGCAGGTTAGAACATGAAGCTTCTTTAAAATTTGAGTTGCTGTGATGTATGTAGGTAGGAGTCTTGAGGTGACAAAGTGAAATGATGGAGTTTTAGGAGCAAGAAGTTTCTATGGTGCTGGAGGAGAATTTGGGATTAAGATATAACCTGTTTATAAATAAAACTTAAAATACCCTTTCTTTAGAGGAATGCTGCCTAGGATTGTCTGAGGGAGGCTGATGCCTACCTAACATGTAAGCTGGAAAAGACACCACACCCTCTGTAGTTATTATCCCTACTG